GGAAAAGGCGTGTTGAAGCTATCCTTGATGACAGAGTGATTCATGCCTCAAGGAAAGATCACCAAGAGTTTTTGGTGAAATGGCAGGGCTGTGATGCAGAAGAGAATACTTGGGAGAGGGGAACAAACCTCAAAGCCTACAAGAGCCTCATTGAAGATTATTTTGCAAGTAAGGCGCCGAGGACGTCGCCAACTCAGGTGGGGGAGAATGTCATGGGCGGCTTTCCAGCCATGCCCCATGACCCCTTGGGCGCGCCCCGTGGCGTCCTAGCGAACCTCCCAATGCCTAGCGCCACAGACGGCCCCGTGGTCTTGGCCGCGCCAAGTGACAAGCGCGCAGGTGCCTCTGTCGCCCCACTGATATCCCTCGCGAGCGCCAAGCCGCAGGCAGAAACCAACAGCGCCGCGCGCACAGACCGTGATGCCAAAGACACTACTGCTGACAACGGACCTGCTGCTGCCTTATAGAAAACTAAGTCATTTTCATTGTAAATATAGAGTAGTTTTATTTCATGTACTTCTATTATGTTTCTCTAGCTTAATCAAGTCTAGTCCTGTAACTTTGGATTATTTATTTTAAGTACTATTAGGGGGGATCAAGCAATCAAAAGTTTCTAGCAAGCAAGCAATTCTCTGTACTGGTGTCTCTCCCCCTCGACACCGCGTTGCTTTTCTGTAATAGCTTTCATTAATGCAATCAAGCTTTCTTTCATTCTGAATTCTCATTTCTGTTCTCTCAATTGCTCTTGATATTGGTTTTCCCGTACGGCACTGACAATCTCGTCTAGCGTGCGGAGGGGACCTCAGTTGACGGACAGCAACTGCACTGACATCAGTTGTCTAGCCTTACGTCGCCCTTCCAAGGAATCTCAGGAAGGCGCCGCGTATCATTATTCGCTAATTCACCTAACTTCCCCAACCAATTGCTAAAATACGCCGAGTCACCCCATACCCCACCATCCCTTCTGGTTCCTCTTGTTTTAGAAACTGAAATTAGCAAGCCACGGACTGAGATTTTCTAAAATATATACACACATGTCTTTTTTTTATGTATATATTCTTATGTACAGCACAAAAGCATAGAATTAGACAGAAAAGTAGAAAGAAAAAGGTCTGCTTGTTTGTTTTATGCAACTTTTTTTTGGTGCCTGTTGCATATAAGGCAAATACATAAATTTTAATACTACTTACTATTTTAGTATTTTATATATATACTGGGGGCTGGTCAAGATTCAGTTACCATATAGTTGGGCGAAGGGTCCTGCCATAAGTTCATAAGCTTTCTTTGTGTTGAGAGAATCAAGAAAATCTTGGTGACGCAATTCACGAATCCTCAAGAATTGTAATGGGTACTTCCCCTTTCTGCTCCTTCTTTTTGTTTTCTGTTCCATGGTTTCTATGTTCTGTTCTTCTGTAAGGAAAGATTTATTGGAGTGGAATGTCACTTGGGTTGATTTTTTGTTAATTGCAATATATGAGTTATTTTGGGTTAGTGGTGTCATTTTGTTCTTTGGTTTTAAGTTAATTTTTGTTTAAAATTTTAGTGGTAAAGTTTAACAATTTTTTTGGGTTTTGATTGGTTAATGGAGTAGAGGATCAAGAAAATCTTGTTCTTGTTATTGCTTGTTTGCTGCTTTATTTTTATTTTTTCTTGTGCCGAGGGTATCATGAAAACAACTTATCTCTATACTCACCGTAAGGCTAAGGTCTCTATAGTCATTACTCTCCCCCAGAGCCTGTCTTTCTGTGGAATTATACTGGTTTGTTGTTGTTGTTGTTGGTTAATGGAGTACTTGTTTCTTTTTTCTTTTTGCTGTGTTTTATGGTTGTGGGATATGGTAGATTTGTTAGTTGTCTGTTGTGGGCATGTTTCTTTTCCCATTATTGAATGTTTGGTATGTCAACAAAAAAATATTGTTTGGTGTGTCCACTGCTGATTTTTGGATGGTCTTTTTTGCTGTTGTTTCACACAATATCAGTATGTTTCTTTGAGCTGTTAACATTAGTGACTGTAATGGCTTTGATGGCTATGGTTTTCACACACACACATAGCCCCACCAGACCAGTCCCACCTCCCAAAACAAGCACCTTTTTTGGTGTTGCCTTTGGCTTCTTAATTGGCCTTCTTTTGTATATCTTGTTTATTTTACACTTTCCACTCTTTCATGATTGGTCAGCTTTATTCTTTTTCCCCCTCATATTTTCATCTTTTTCTCATACTTGCTTTACACTCTTGGTTTCCAGTGTCTTCTTTGTGATTGGTAATGCTGATTCTCTCTATTTTTCCCCTTGCTTTCATTGTCTGAAATTTTCTATTTTTATTTCCTATTTCTCTGAAGCTACAGTTAGCTATTCTCAAAACATCATGGATGATGAATATGAAAAATTTATCAGAAGAATGAATCCACCAAGGTACTATTTCTATTGTTTCTCTCTTAATTCTCTGACTGTTACTTTAATTTAATGTTAGTCAATACCATTTAGGCCTTGGCATTTACTCCATATTCACTGTTTTTATGTCAGAGTTGTAATTGACAATGAGTCCTGCAAAAATGCCACTATTATACAGGCATGTTTGAGTTTAGGTTCTTTGTTTTTCAGGCTCTAAATTGCTAATCTAAAGGGAATACTTCTAATTTTGCTGAATCTTTTGTACTCTGGTGCAGGTGGATAGTGCTAACAAACATGGAATACTTCTAGAGGTGGTACAAGTTTTAACTGATCTTAACCTTGTTATTACCAAGGCTTATATTTCCTCTGATGGTGGATGGTTCATGGATGGTAATTAAAATTTACTTTTCCTTTTTCATTCCATCTAGCATTGTGCCTTTCACTTTTAGAAAAAGGAATTTACCACGGCTTTTTGGGGTAATTTTATAAGTTGTTACTCTTTTGGCAGTTTTCAATGTGACTAATCAAGAAGGGAACAAGATTACAGATGAGGGAATGTTGGATTATATCATGAAGGTGAGCTGTATTCTGTGTACAAAATTTGGCACTTTGTTATTTTCATTAATGTGGGAAAGGAACTGAATTTTTTAGTGGTTTCATTTTCAGTCTCTTGGTCCAGACTCTTGTTTCGCGTCATCTATGAGAAGATCGGTTGGGGTTACCGCAGGAATGGACCACACCTCAATTGAGTTAATTGGAAGTGATAGACCCGGGCTATTGTCTGAGGTGAGCGCTGTCCTTACCAACCTCAAATGCAATGTGGTAAATGCTGAGGTGTGGACCCATAACACCCGAGCAGCAGCGATAATGCAAGTTACTGATGAGGTACATGGAGGTGCAATTACTGACCCGGAAAGGTTGTCTACGATGAAGCAACTCTTGTGCAATGTACTTAGAGGTAGCAATAAATTAAGGGATGCTAAGACAATAGTATCCGATGGGGTCTCTCATACTGAGAGAAGGCTTCACCAGCTGATGTTTGCAGACCGGGACTATGAACGCACTACTGGTGAAGGATTGGATGATAAAGAAAGGCCTAATGTGAATGTTATTAATTGGCAAGACAAGGACTACTCGGTTGTTACAATCAAGTGCAAAGATAGACCGAAGCTTCTCTTTGATACTATTTGTACATTGACAGATATGCAGTATGTGGTTTTCCATGGCAATGTTGATGCTGAAGGACCACAAGCTCACCAGGTACTACAATTTTCCTATTAATTTCAGAACTTCTTTCGTTTTTTGTTACTGTGCTCAAAGTGGATGTAGTTTTCTGTAAATTTGTTAACTAATATGGTGAAGTCTGTTTTCATTGAAGGAGTACTGCATAAGACATGTAGATGGATCCCCGGTGAAATCTGACGCAGAGCGGCAAAGAGTGATTCAATGTCTTGAAGCAGCAATAGAAAGAAGAGTATCTGAGGTTAGCACTAATGATTTACGTTCTTAAATCAATTTAGGTCCATAACTGGCAATTAATCATCTCTAGCTAGCTTCTTCATGTATAAGTCTGGATCTGTAAATTGCACTTAAAAAATGGAAAGTAGTGAATGTTGGTTTTTGAATGCACTGATATCAACTGACCTTGTCTAAAAATGGTGATGCATTGTGACAATTCTGACTTAATGAGTAAAAAAAGGGGAAGTGTATATTTTATTAGTTGTCTGATGATATCTCCACCCCATTGTCTTTTATTACAATTTAATTTATTGCCTCAGTTATGTCAGATAGGTTTGGAAATATTCTGCTGGACAAGATATTGGAGTTCTATAATGTCATTTTCTTGTCTTATAGGCTTTGGATTCCATTTATCATTTTTTTTCTTGTGTTTGTCCAGGGATTGAAGCTAGAGCTATGTACGACGGACAGAGTAGGACTACTATCTGATGTTACTAGGATCTTCCGCGAGAATAGCCTCACTGTCACCAGAGCGGAAGTGACAACTAGAGCAGGAAAAGCTCTAAATATTTTCTATGTTCGCGATTCCTCAGGGTATCCTGTTGATGCTAAGATAATAGAATCTGTTCGTCAAACAATTGGACAGACAATACTTAGAGTGAAAGGCAACATCGAAGAGTTAAATCCAGTTCCACAAGAATCTCCAACCAGGTTCCTTTTTGGTGGTCTATTCAAGTCCAGATCTTTTTGTAATTTTGGTTTGGTTAGGTCCTATTCTTGAAAACTTAGATCATAGTCCTCGTCCAGTGTACATTCGATTCCCTCTATATTAACCTACATTCCCTTTTTCTAGGTTTAAGATCTAGTTTAGCAAAGTTGATTACTATATGAAGCTGTAACTTTGAGGTTTTAGAGGCAAAAAAGATGACAGTTGTCTGTAAATATGTTTTCTTGATCATTCTGCTTTGTTCATTAGTTATGGATTCAACACGACGTTGTCCAGTGAAGCAAACAACTGTGTCGAAATTGGTACTTACATGTTTAGTAGATTTACTCTTTTGCTTTTAATATATGTCTAACTGTACAGTCAAATGTGGCCCTTTATTATTTCAGCCAGAAACTGAAATGAGCTGTTGTAGTCTTTGATTCAAGTAGCAACACATTAAACGATGTTTGACTTGATTCTTCTATGTTTTCTACAGTTTGGAAAGGGTAAAATATCATGGTTTCATGTTAGAAAAATTCTTTGTTAAAAGACAAAGGTCATTAAGCAGATTATTTTTCTCAAAGTGGAGCCATCAACCTTTGACTAAACATTTCTCTTGGTTTAATCGGCCAAGAGATCGCGGCGGCTTGTCACTCTTTGATTTTAATTATTAATTATTAACTTAGCATAAAAACCCGTTTAGATAAAGACAATGATTAGTAATGTTTTGGCCTGCTGAAGAATCTTGCTTATTTGAATTGTTTTTTGGTTATTTGTCGTGGATTACTTGGATTACTTTCTACTTTTATCATTGGAGCATACGATCCAAAATTCCACCATAGGTGTCGTGATGGCACCTAGTCTCTAAGACTAGGTAAGCCGATTACTAACAACATATAAGGCAGTTTAACAATGATATTTTAAAAGCAAAGTTTAATATAAATACCGAAATAAAGGTGAAACAAGCCTACGCGGCAATAATCTCAACAACCTCCCAAGACTAGGTAATACAGAGTCACGAACTCTAGAGGGATACATAGAAATATCTCAAAATTAAAAAAAAAATTAAATACTGTTCGAATAACGAATTGACAGTACAATAAAAAGGAAAAGGACTCCAAGGGACTGCGACAACCAAGCAGCTCTACCTTGAATCTTCGCGATCCTTGCCCAAGTCCGTTCCAATACCTGGATCTACACAATAATATGTAGAAGTGTGGTATGAGTACACCACGGTCGATACCCAGTAAGTATCAAGACTAACCTCAATAGAATAATGACGAGATACAAGTCAAGACACCTACTAGTCATAATAACCTATGCATTATAAGCATAAAGCTAATAATGGAGCAAGAATCAATAAAATGGCAGCAAGGAATTAACATGTGTTATAAACAGTAAAGTAATCCAAACACCGTTAAAGCACCAGTGAAATCAAAGAAGGAAAACAAATGACAGCCAACTAATCAGGTCGTTCTAACACAAGGCTCACGACAACATTACTTCGGGATACCTCATCTCAAAATCACAAGTCACGAGTCCCAAATCACAAATCATATGCTCACGGCACCTTGTGCCCACATTATCAATCACGATCGCACGGACAACTCACGTACCAATATCTCATTCCGTCCGGTATGGTCACAGGCTCACAATCACAATCTGCTCGACGTGGTCACAGGCTCAATACCACAATCCACCCGGTATGGTCACAGGCTCACTATCATAATGGAAGGAGATAATTCAAGAATACATGGACATGATCAATGAATGTCAAGTTTCATTCTTCTGAACCGGTGTAAACGGTATGCTACGGTGTATGCTTGTGCGAGTGTACTATTACAGTCCATGTCAACAAGTAATATCAAGACATCGAGCAACTAATTGGAAACAACACAACAAGTCACGTAAGGTGCATGACATATACAAGAAAAATCATACCATCACACGAATATCATCAACATTATGCCCCCAGAAATCATCCCCGACATAGCCACCCTTATCTCTCCATATTGACAACATCATAATAGTCACCCTTATCGTTACGCCTAGACAATAACACAGTAGCCACCCATATCACTCCGCATAATAGCCACCTGTATCGCTCCGCCCAGACAATAACACAATAGCCACCCGTATCACTCCTCCAGACATTAATACAATAGCCATCCGTATCACTCCGCCCAGACAATATATCAATAGCCACCCATATTACTCCGCAGAATCATCAACAATGAGATGCCACCTTTATGCTCTGCATAACCACAATCAATCCACACAACAAATCACATGTGTTAACATCACAACAACACGACATATCAACTCGTACCACATGTGCCCATAGGCCACAGCACTTTCCAGAACAACAATACCAATATTAGCACAATACATAGCCCATGGCTCAACCATATTGCGTACAAGAATCTCAATAGCAACAAAATAAAATGGGGAAAAATAACTCAACAATGAACAATACTCCATTAAACTACAACTTCAACTAAAACATGTTAATAGTTTTCAATAACTTCGACATCAATTAATTCCTTATGAATAAACTCAATAATAAAGGTATTTCCATGGAATGACAACTTCGAATTCTAATGTATGACATAAGCTAACAATGAAAGAGATGACATTAACTAGAAACTACGTCTAAGTGCATGAGAATAACCCGACAACGAAAGGATATCATGTAACAACAATTTTCAATTAAGAATAACTCAACAATAAAGGAGGTCACATTACAATAAAAGTGGTAACGACTTCAAATAAAATATATAAGAGTAAACCTGAGAAGTAAAAGATATGACATGTGCTAACAACTTCAAATAAAGCATGTGAGAGTAAACTTGATAAACAAATGATATAACATGTGCTAACACTTCAAATAAATATATGAAAGAATCCTAAGAGTCTAAACCGGTCAATTTCCACATATAAGTCCGAGTACGCACTCGTCACCTCGCGTACACGTCTTTCACATAATTCAAATAATACAATCAACCTGAATCCTAAGAGGTAGTTCTTCCACACAAAGTTAGGAAAGATACTTACCTCAAAGAAACTAAATCAATTGTCTAAAATGACCTTCTCGTGTGAAACAACCTCCGAACGGCTCGAATCTAGCCAAAATAACTTAATATCGTAAATAAAAGCCATAGAAAATAATTCCGGATAATAAAGCTTTGATCTTTAATGAAAACCAAAAAGTCAATCCAAAAGTCAACCCTGAGCCCGCACCTCGAAACCCGACAAAACTCATAAAATCCCAACATCTATTCCGATACGAGTCGAATTGCAACCATACCAAAATTATCCAATTCCGACATTAAATCGGCCTTCAAATTATCATTTTTGTGTTTTAGAAAGTTTTTACAAAAAACCCCAATTTCTCTAATTCAAATCACTAATTTAATGATAAAAACAAATATGGAATCATGAAATATAACCAAATCCTGGTCAAGAACACTTACCCCAATCCAAATTGTGAAAATCCCCTCCAAAATTGCCCAAATCTGAGCTCTCTATAAAATAACAAAAGCCCTCAAAACAGAGTACTACATAGTCTGCGTAGGGATTCCTCTTCGCGATCGCGGACATGTTTCGCGATTGCGAAGCAAAAAATCACAAGCTACCAAAAACGTTCTTCGCGAACGCATAACCTCAGTTGCGAAAGCGACTCACAATCCCAAGCAACCATCGCGAACGCGTTATCTCCATCGGGGATGCGGAGAGCAAACCCCTGATGACCCTTCTAGTTTTTCCTTATACGCGATCGCGATACCTGATGCATGAATGTGAAGGCACCAGTCTTCCCATCTTCGTGAATACGGTCGCCTCTTCGCGACCGCGAAAAACAATGTGCCTGCTTCCACAATAGCTCTATGCGAACGCGACTGCTTGTAACAACCCGACCGGTTGTATTGAGCATTTGCACTTTGCTCCATAGTTTGGGGGAACGAATAGCTCCGTATGATGTATTAGGACTTGTGTGCAAAATTTGAGTTCATTCCGAGTTGATTTGATATGTTTCGTCGCGAGTTTTTGGAAGTCAAAAGTTCGAAAGTTCATTAAGTTTGATTTGAGGTGTGTTTCGTCGTTTCGATGTTGTTATGCGTGATTTGAGGCCTTGAGTAGGTCCGTATTATGTTATGAGACTTGTTGGTATGTTCGTACGGGGTCCCATGGGGCTCAGGTGAGTTTCGGATAGGTTTGGGTTGTGTTGCGCTCGTTTTTCTTATGTTTCGACGTCGTTTCTTCAAGTATAAATGGTACCACATTAAGCAAATGAGCTCCAATTTCTGTTTTGATTAAAGCATTAGATCTGTATCGTAATTACGGAGGCATAGAAAAAAGAATCATCGAATTTGGACATCGTATGAGGATTTTATGGTCATTTTACTAAGAATTGGGTTGCTAGATTTTTCAGATTAATTACGAAATTGTCACTAACTTCATATTTAAAAATCTGCACTATTTGCAAATATTGAAACCAACATATCTCCTTCAATATAAGGTCAAATGAAGTGATTCAAGAGCCTAACTTGACTAAAATTTCACAATGAATCCAATGGGGGCATCAAAAGTGAGTTCCGGGATCGTTTGGAATGAGAAACGAGGTAGAATAGCTGACAGAAAAATATATAAAACAAAGGTTTGTTCATTTGGTCATATTTTAAGTCGGGGAGCTCGAATTTGGGCGATTTTGGAGGCGATTTTCATCATACGGATTGGGGTAAGTGTTCTCTACTCGGATTTGGTTATATTTCATGAATCCATCTTCGTTTTTGGGATTTGATTGATAATTTCAAAGTGAAATCTAGGGGTTTTGCCTAAAGTTTCATAAAGTAAATTTTTATGTTTTGAACATCGATTCGGAGTGGGATTTGAGTGAAATTAGTATGTTTGGACTCATAATTGAATGGGTTTTCGGATTATGTGAGTTTTATCGAGTTCCAAGGTGCGGGCCTAGGTTGGGTTTTTTGGCTGATTTTGGGCTTTTGATTAAAGATTCGATCTTTTTCAATTGGGATTGGTTCCTTTAGTATTGTTTGATGTATTTGAGTTGTTTTTGGTTAGTTTCGAGCCGTTCGGAGGTCGTAATGCGCGTGATGGTATTTTTGGAGCATCGCCTGGCTTGCTCAGTGTTGGAATTGGCTTGTTTGAGATAACTAACTCTTCTAAACTTAGTGCTGAGGGTATGAAACCCCAAATTATGTGTTGTGTGATTGGTATTGAGGTGGCGCACATGCTAGGTGACGGGCGTGCGGGCGTGCACCCTGTGAATTGTGACTCCGCTGTTTCCCTCGCACTGTTTAGTGGCCCTAGTTCGTTGATATCTGTGTTTTCACCATGTGATTAATT